GATGTGGTTTCAGTATTTTAGCAGCAACATGTCGGTTCCTCAGTTAAGGAAATCAGTACTTCTCTCGAAGGAGTATCTAATCCCTTCTGGTCAAGGGGAGGGTTTGCGGCAGCAACAGTTGGTCTGCAATTTGGTTTTCTAGTACGAATCGTAGGTGAGCAGGAGTCGAGTAGATAGTTCTATGGATAAGTGTTATGATTTTAGCATTGGTTTAGTACGGGCGGTCTGTCAGGGAATCAGACCAGTTCGAGACTTCAGGCTTCAGATAAGTAGATTACTTTTCTTCAAAGGATTGTGGAATTGCCTTTTTCGAGTGGAAAATTTTGCTAGTTTCAGTTGTGTGACAACTGGAAAATTTTTGTACAAGCAAAGTTTGAAATGTATCTATGTATAAGTACAACCACAACGTAACCTTGTTGCAATAAAACTGTGAAAGCCAAAAGGGCATTGGTTGTATAAGTATATATATATATATATATATATATATATATATATATATATATATATATATATATATATATATATATATATATATATATATATATTCTGAAAATCATAGTCGTAACAAATACTTGAAAGTCGACAAGAAAGACCAAGAATTATAAATATTTCCATTTGCATTTAAAGTATTTAAGACCTAGGACCCACCAACCTAGTAATTTCGGTTTGCTTAGGACCGAAATCACCCTTTAGTGAGTAGCACAAAACCAAAGTCCCATGTTAAAGACCACTAGGGCCGAAAACCCCTTTAATGGGTGATACCAAAACCAAAAACACCATGAGAGGATGATGTATGACCGAAATCACAAGCCTAGAACACACCTAGGCCGAAATCACCAAGACCAAAAACCACTAGGACTGAAATCACTTGGTCAAAGTCATACCTAGGATCGAAATCACATGTGGTTTCGGTCATACTAGGGAGTTTCAGTGAGTTTTCGGCTGGAAAGAAGATAAGGAAGTTGATTTTGTGATTTAGATGTTTCCTCCTTTCCAATGCAAAACTATACCCAACAAATATCAATGTTATTAACCAACAGATAACAAAGTAAACATCACCTCATCTTTTCCTTTTTATACACAACAGAAAACCACTCCATATCTCATTCTTCAACTTCTTTCATTTCCCTTCATCCATTCTCTCAAAGAACCAAGTCCAAGCTTCCAAGGATTAAAACCTTGTAGGAAGATTAGTTTTGATGTTATAGACTTCGAGGACCTTGCATGCATGTAAAGTTTGCAACTTTACGTGGTATCTACACTAGGGGAGGTTGGATCTGAAGTTTGGGACCTTAGATCCCACTGAAAAGGGCTGAACATAAAAGGGACTGAAGGAACTCGTCGAGTCCCTTAGTTGACTCGACGAGTCGGGGTAGGGTTTGCCCGATTTTGAGTTTCTGAATGACTACAGTGAAGGATTAGGGTTTTGGTCTGAATGGGCTTTAGGTTTTCTGGACATTTGATGAACTCGAAGAGTCACTAAGGTGACTCGGCGAGTTGACTCGGGATTCAGTGGAATGGACTCAGGAGGAACTCGACAAGTTACAAAGGTAACTCGGCGCGTTGACGAGTTATGCAGCTACCTCGACGAGTTGTTGGATGCACTCGACGAGTTGAGGTCAACATGGACTGTTGACCTTGACTTCGACCAGGATTGACCAGGATTGACTTTGTGGGTATTTATAGTATTTGTGGGATTATGACAAGTTAATCACATGTTGATTATAGGCAGTTGAGGATGAGTATTGCGTGGGATATATCTTATTTAGGCTTGGCAGTTCAGCATTCGAGAGGTGAGTCTTCTCACCATACCAATGGGTCTAAGGCACCAAGGCCGACCCATTTTATGATATGTGGATTGTTGATTAATTATGCGATATGTTAGCATGGCATTTGCATGAAAGATCCCGGGGGGTTCCCGTGGCAGTAGTCTGAGACCACGTGGGGGTTCCCGTGGCATTTGGTATATGACCTTGGAGGGTTTCCATGGCATCCTAGTATATTTGTATGTGTAGTTTGTATGATGTTTTGCTTGGTAGTGAAGACCATGTGGGGGTTCCCATGGCATGAAAACCATGTGGGGGTTCCCATGGTAGGTAGTTAAGACCACGTGGGGGTTCCAGTGGCCCTAGGTGTAAGACCCTAGAGGGTTTCCATGGCTTCCTTATATGTTGTATGCATGGCTTATCTGATATATGTAGCTTATATAGCTAATATGATACGTGATATATGGATTGTGTGTGGGGTATGATATGGGGGGACTCACTAAGCATTAGCTTACAGTTTGTGGATTTTTTTCAGGTACATCTGAGCCCAAGGGAAAGGGCAAGGTTTGATGGCGTGGCGTGCACTCTCTCTCAGGTGTTTATGGGACACTATGATGTTTTGGAATAAAATTGTTATTGTTACTAAATTAAAAACAATTGTATTTGGGGCTTTCATGGTTTGTGGAAAATATTTGATTTATTAAAAATGAAAATTTTCTTTTGAAAAATTGGGTTGTTACATTATTCAGAAAATTTAGTTGGTATCCCCCAACAGCTTTGACTGCAACTGTATCCTTTTGCAATATTGGGCACATATCAGTTGGGTGCCTAGTTTTGCAACAGATCCCGCAAGATTTGACTTTTGACTCGATACCTTTTTCTTTTGTTAGTAGGAGGACAACCTTAGTCAATTCCGAAATTTAAGATTTCAGGTAGGCATTACTTATTTCTTTGACCCCTCTTGGCTGGTCCAGATACCACTCTTCTTCAGTTGTCGAGTGTTTTGATTCATTAGCCATCTTCTCGATTAATGTCCGGATCTCCATTTGTCTCATATCTGAAAGTGACCCTCTGCCTGATGCATTTATAAGTCTCATTTCCATGGGCACTAAGCCTTCGCCGAAACATTGGTATAACTGGTAATCGCTAATTCCATGTTGTGGGCATCAGACCAACAACTTCTTGAACCGCTCCCAATAAATGTGGAGAACTTCTCTTTTCCCTTGCTTTATACCTAGAATTTCTCTGCGCAAATTTGAAACTTTCGCCTCGGGAAAATATTTCTCTAGAAAAATTTTGGCGAGCTTGTTCCAACTTGTTATCAAATCAGACTGGGGGTCATATAACCACTCATTTGCTGCATCTTGAACCTAAAAGGGGAATGCCCTTAGTTTTATCTGGTCTTCAGTAACTACTACATGAGGCTTCATTCCAGAACAGACGACATGGATTTCCTTGAGAAATTTGTGATGATCTTCATTCTCAAGGCCTCGGAACGGGGGCAAAAGATGGATTAAACCAGATTTAAGCTCAAAGTTTTAAGCTTCTGGAAAACTGATACATAGAGGTTGCTGGGTAACCTCTTGTGTCGCCCACTCGCGAAGAGTCTTTTCAGCATTGTCTCTGTCTTCACTCATAATAATTTCTGTTTCAAGTTCTGATTGGGTTTCAAAAGAGTCTTTGGATTCGGATTTAACGAAAGAGGGTGAGGAATATGTTTTATAAGGGCTGTTTTGAGGAGAAGATGGGGGTACTTTCGGTAAAAATGGATTTGGTTCGTTCCACAAGGGAGTGCCTTGTGGGGTGATGGTTTCTGGAGGTATAGAAGATGAGGAACAAAAGAGACCTGCTGATCATTTCTTTCTTGCTGCTTCTTTCTTCAGTTTCCTTGCAGTTCGCACGATTTCTGGATCAAAAACTAAAGTTGTACCTGAACGAAAATTTATTGGCATAAAGTTATTAGAAAGCACCGTGTCCCCAACAACGGCGCCAATTTGTTAACACGCTGTCGCGTGCGTATAAAACAAATAAATTATCACTGTTGGTTGCACTAAAAATATAGCACAGGGAAGCATGGTCGAATCCTCAGGGACATAGCCTAACGATCAATGCTTTTTTTCATCAGGCACAATCTAGTCAAGAAATAGAAATAAAAAAATGGGGATTTTAAATTTAACTAAAAACTAAAAATGCAGGGATATTAAACTAAAAGAAAATCAATAATAAAAACGATTTCAGTTCTGCTGCGACTTTCCTAACCATGCAACTGGCCCAAATCTGATTATTAGAGATGCGTTCTATCTAAGCTGGTACTGAGAGAAACTAACAAGCTCTAGTATAATTTCTTTTACCTAAACTAATTAATCAAAACAAGCTCTTCATTTAACCCTAACTTTTTACTCTTCAATTAAATGAGCTCTTAATTAAATTAGAAAAATTACATTAAGTTCTGTGTAAAATTCACAGCAATACTCAATACTTCTCACAAGCTCGGAAGCGTAAAGTATGATTTTTCAGTTTATAATAAAGTCAAATCCGAAACACAGAACCAATTTATTAATTGTTACTTATTACCAAATGACAAGAACAATTACATATTCTATTGACCAATTAACAAGAATGATTAAACCCTAAGTAGGTGATCAGACTAACAAGAATTTAAAAATCAAACATTCATTAAGCTCAAAACTAAAAAATCTAGATAGAAACACAAAACAAAAATCAGATCTAAAAACTAATCACATGAAAAATACTAGTCTAATGCAGAACTGAAAACTAGGGTTTAGCCAGACATGGCTAAAAACAAAATCAAACTACTAGAATTAAACATTAAATAGCTAATCTTACTAATCTAATTAAAGGAGACGATCAAAAGTCTTTGGATCTTCAGAAATTACTGAAATCAGAGAAGAAACACCTCAAAAATCGTCTTTTTCGTAGTCTGGAGTTTCAGAAGTCGACTAGGGTACCAAATCCCATTTACTGGAATGTTATATGGGTCTATTTATGCGTCCAACAGCAAAACATGGCGAGCATGTGATCGCATGTTTTCTTCTAGTTTTCAAGAACATTTTGAATCTCGTCAATCGGAGTTTCGGTTCATGAGATATGGTCAAAATACTGACAGGGGGTCAAAGCTGCCAACAACATCCTTTAACTTCAGATTGTAGAATCTATCTTTGTGTCATCAATTTGATCGAATTTTTCTTGACTAAAACATCTTCCAAGCATTCCTCATAATCCTTCATAAGTTCCAAGCTCCATTTTAAGCTCCAAACGTGCATCCAACTGCTCCCAAAGCACTGCTCCACTCGAACTATCTGAAATTGACATAAAAACATGAGCTGTATGAGAATTCTAATAGAATACATGAGCTGAACATTATTTAAACAAATGGCATGCAAATGTACAAAATATGATGCTAAATGATAATGAAAACTACCCTAAAAGATGCATAAAATGACATCTAACATATAAGAAAATGGATAGAGTTGGAGGTTGGAGTATGTCAAGATAAAAGGCAAAACCTTTACGAGATAGAGATGTTGTAGTCTTGCAGACCAACTCACTTCAATAGTTTATCAATGTGCTTAATTGAGATCGAGAAGTTCGATGTGGTGTTTGTCGTTGAGAAACAGAGAAAAACATGCCATATCTAACAAAATAACAAATAGAGATTCAGGGTTTGAGAGTGTCGATCTTACTTTCTGTACTTAATAAATAGTCAATAAACAGAAATAAATATCATCATGTTGTTTCTTGGGTAGGGTCGGGTCAGTTTCATTCTTAATGGGTCGGTTCGGTTTTTAGGTCAGTTTTTATAGTACTCAAACCGAAATCGATTTTCAGAACCTGAAACCGACGATTTCTGTTTGGTTTCAGTTTTCCAATTTCGGTTTCATTGGTTTTTTCGGTTTCTCGGTTTTCTGGTTCGGTTTTGCTAACCCCTGGTAAGATATATATGTTTCCCAAAGAATTTGGTAAGATATGTGTTGGCTTTAATTTTGCCAAAACTAGTCTTTACCATGTGATTGCTTTTTGTCAAAGTCTTTGTCATGTGGTCATATTTAAGAGGGGGGGGGGGGGGGGGGGTGTTAGGTGGTTGAGTTGTGCATTTACCCAATTGCTGTTAAGGGATCTACTTTTATTTGGGATAATGTTAAGGTGCCACATTTTAAATTTTCCAAAAAAAAAAATGTTTGAGGGTATCTTCTATATATTACTTTTGGTACGTTAGGTATATATAGATGTGTTTTTATTAATGTTCTACAAAGCTTGTTATGTCTTCAAAACTTATAGTTGACGTCACACTTTAACAAAATGACGTCTTAAATCATATGTGTATACAAAAAATATATAATAGTAGTGTATATATATATATATATATATATATATATATATATATATATATATATAATTGTTAGTTATATACAAATTTGTTGTTTTAAATCGCTTCTAAACGTTATTTAAAAGAACTATAAAAAATCCTTATAAAAAAATTGATTTTCGATGATACTGTGGACCTTAATTAATTATTTGGACTGCTTTCATATTAACGTCGTGTTATATGGTTGATAGTTGATGTGGCTTTAATGCAAGTAATTAGATGGACGGCACTAATTGTATTGTTGAACTCTTGTTGATGTTTGATTGTTTTTATACCCTGCTTTGCCAATGTGATTGGTTTTATACCCTGCTTTTGGCCATGTGTAATTATTTTTTGTTAGCTAATTGCTAGTCTTTTAATAAAGGTTTGTTGTTAAAAGAAAATTATTGCCTAAAATAAATAAAATGTACTTTTCTCACAAAATAAATTATTATTTGTGTTGTAATAGCTAGAATGTCTTATAAAATTTGGATTACATTCCATAGAGTAAATATAAAAAGATATTGAAATATCAACCATATTATTATTCCACCAATATTTTAATTGTCATCGTACAATGAGTGAGATGGCAAAAAAATATTGAAATATTGATATTCCTTCCAAGGAAAAAAAAGAAAAATCACAAACAGTAAACATTTTTTAGATGTAAGCCTCCTTTTGACAAAAATTTAAGAAGTTAAACAATAAATGAAGACATTGCCGCCAGACAGCGTTGGCCACATCACAATTAGAAAAGCTAGTGGACCACAAAATTGTTGATCGTTTGATCATGTGGTATACCCATCAAACCAATATCGTGTGAAACGTTATTTCTATTTTATCTGGTCACGACATCACTCTATATTTACGAGACGTATGTGTATGTAATAGAGGAAGAAAAGAATGGTATGTACAATAAAGTAACGAAGTTTTAAATTTATAGGTAAAATCTGTAAAAAAAAATAATTAAATATTATTTTCTTATACATTTTTAACCTTTATATACGGTTAGTCGTCAAAGGTCTTGTCAAATGTCAAATTCCATCCCCATATCACATGCATGCGCATGGCACCACGGCACAACCATGATGACCAGCTGGGTGGCCACGCAACCCATTCCTAAAAGGAATACCGAAAGACCTTAGAACTCATTTGGTATATATGTTATCAAATGCTTCTACATAAATCCTAGAGAATAACCTTGATACAACATCAAAGTTTGCTTCTTAATAGTTGCCGTTTCTATGGTTTTTCTTTTATTCTCATCATAATCCATACTAACATACTAAGTTTTTCGTCAAAGTTTATTCTTGGAATCAGTGGCGGACGCATGAATTTTTGCTGTAGTTGCACCTTAGACTACATATTTTTTTAGTGGGTGTATCTTAATAAGAAAAAAAATTACACTACAACGAAAAATTGAGTGGTGGCCAGTAACGGTTTTACTATAATGCCCGTAGTGACACTGATAACCCTAGTTTTTTGGACGTAGTGAAATTCTTTTTGAATTTTTTGAATTTTTTTTCTACAATGATGATACTACTAAAATTTTTCGTGAAATCCTTATTATGAAATTATGCGTCCACCCCAGATGGTGGTCCGGGACCCCCGGAAAACACCTAAATTCGCCACTGCTTGTAATCAAACCGGAGATAATCTTTTTTTTTTTTGGAATGAAACCGGAGATAATCTTAACATCAGAAAAGTGCAATTGGGTGAATACATTCATTTTATTAATTTGATGTATCGATTTTTATATTTTACTCTTTTTTTATTTGTCATGTAACTCTTTTATATAATTCTCATGTAACTATTTTGCCATATGTTGTCTTGAATATATATAGGTAATGATTTTCTATTGACATTTGAAATTACATATTATAGCTTAAAAATAAAACTTAATATCATATGACCATTATGTGACTTCAAATTTTAAAATTATTTCAAACATTGCCAATAAAATTTAAACACAACTTGCAAGAAAACGTTTGAGATGTCGATTGTATGCGAGGGGTTGCTCTAACGGTAAAAGATGACCAGCAGACTTTATGTACTCTATAGTCGTTTCAGCGCCCAATCGCCTATACATATGAACACATACTTATCATATTAAATTATAAATAAGAAAAAACGCCAACATATGAAATTAGGTATCTTACGCTTTCATGGCTTTCGCAAGCTCATCACTGAAGATCTTGTCCTCCTCACCGCACAACATATGTATCCTCTGCAATTAAGACAATGTAATCGACTCCATTTTTATTCTCAAACATAAACATAAGAACAAGGACGTTAAATAAATATAACCAATCTAATTAATTAATTAACAACCTGAGAGTATTTAGCAACCGTGTTCGCATCATTGTCGGGGACGACCAATGCTGCCAGGAGTTCGCCTCTCTCTTTTCTGTTGTTGAACATTGTCTGCATGCGAGTGTAAGCAATTGAAGTAAGATCCAGAATGATAGGAACTCGGAATGTAAACCCAGTTTCGGCGTTAAAGTTGGTGTGCATGCCCATATAAAAAAAAGAAAGAGAAAAATTAAAATTACCTCAAAAATGCCACGATAAATGAAATCTGGAAGCCATGGCATTTTATGAGCACCAGCAGTAAGCATCCTTATCAAACCCTCCATTGTTTCCGGCAACAGAAGGTCTGCCCAAGAGGATACACCACATCGCTTGCATGACTCATGGCTAAGTGACTCCGTTAACTCTATAGCGGTAGAAGACACCACCATAGAATGCACCAGATTTGGGTACAACTTAGCCATTTCAAAACCAACAAAACCTCCATAGCTTAACCCCACTAATGTCACTTTCTCCACGCTAAGGATCTTCATCCCTTTGGCCAAAAACTCGGCCTGAAAGCTAGCAGACCTCTCATTTCTGTTGGTGGTTGAGCCACCGAAGAACAGGAGGTCCGGGACGTAGACGGAGTACGTTCTCGTTAGGGCTAAAACTTGTGGAAACCACAGGAAGATACCATCCATCGCGAAACAATGCACAAGGAGTACAGCAGGTTTCTTGGGTGGTATGTATTGGGGTATTTCATCAAGTTCGACGATAGTTTCTTGTGGAATCCATATGTTCATGATGGTACCAGGCTCTATTTCTAGGATTTTTGGTGTTAGTCCTGCAAGCTGCATGAGTCCATGAAGTAAACGAGTTAACCCTGTAAACAACAACCCCATCTTCAATGGAGAAATCTTGATGGTATACAAATGGAGTGGACAACAATATATATATATATATATATATATATATATATATATATATATATATATATATATAGTAGCAGCAAACCCGTGCGATGCAGCGGTCGACAAATAGCTTCATTCTTGAGCTTAATTAACTTTTTTCCGAACGACAAATAGTTTGCTTTCGACCTATTTTGAGAGGTCTCGGCCGCTCTTTTTTTGTACCGGTTTTTTTGATCCATTCTTTTTTTCCGACTCGTCTTTTTTTTCAATTTGTTTTTGTTCTAGACCAATTTGGTCTATGGTCTTTTCCGTTTGTTTTTTTGTTCAAATTCAAGTTTTTGTTCGATTTCAGTTATTTCATTTCAGTTCGACTTTCATAGATTTTGATATTCGTATAAATTAGACTAAAACTTTATCAACGTAGATATAGAAATTTATATAACATTATTTGTTATATTGCAAAAAAAAAAATCTATAGTTCTACGTTTAGTTTTGTATATTGTGTTACTTATCATTATTATTCTATAAACCGTCTAAATATATGTCATACCATCTAAATATTAAGTAATTATAACATAAATAATAAGATATAATAATTTTGTAACATAAGAAAAAAGTTTTGATATATACTTTCATTTCAGGAAATAGATTGTTTTCGATAATTAAGATTTAGGAGGAAGGGAGAGGGATTGAACAAATATAATAATGTGGTTTTGTTTTTAAAGAATATAAATATATTGTTATTTTTAGATTAAAAATAAAAATTCATTCATATTTTTGATGCAAATATGAATTTATATCATGCATGAATAAATGTTTATTTACTTTTTGTACCAACTTAACTTATAATTTTCCATAGCTTTTAGAGTAGATTTAAGTGAATGATGATAGTGTATTCTATTTTTTCTTTCAATGTGTATGAGTCATGTTGGATACTCTATGCACTAACCTCTCCTCTCTCTACCTCATCTTTCATAATCTTTTGTATCTTTTTTTAATAAATTACTTCTCCTCTTTATTTTATATTATAACTTTTTTTTTATAATTATAAGTTTTTAGTTATATCATTAATAGAGTTGCTTCGTACTTTATAAAATCATCTATTCAAATAGTAAACAATTGAGAGTATATAATAAAACAATTTATATACAAAAAAAAGCATATTATAAGTAATTTATTTTTCACTTTTTGTTACATAATTTGTTTCAATATTTTATTTCATTTTCATTTTATCGTCTTAAAAATATAATAAATATAATGATTATATACGTTTAAAAAACAAAAACTACTTGAATAATACAAACAAATTCATGTCATGCTTATATATAATTTTTACACGAACTTAACTCATAATTATCCATAATTTTGCTTTTTGAGTAGATACAAGTGAATGATGACAACCTATTTTATTTTTTGTTTTTTCAATGTGTATAAGTGATATTGGAAACCATATCCACCAACCCTTCATCTCCATACCTCATCTTTTAGATCTATTTTTACTTAATTACATCTCCTCTTTATTTTATATTATAAATTCCCTTTTTATTTGTTTCTAATTATAAGTTTTAGTTATATCTTTAATAGAGTTACTTGGTACTTTTTAAAATAATACACAATCGAATGTATATAATCAAACAATTTATGTACAAAAAGAAAGCATATTGTTATAATTTATTTTTTTCTTAAATATGACATAACTGGCTTCAATATTATAATTATTATATACGTTTAAAAAACAAAAAGTACATGAATAATACACATAAATTCATTCGTAAAGATAACCATATTAGGAATATAACTTGTTTCAATATCTCGTTTCCAAATAGCTTAATAAAATGTTAAGCTTTTCCATATATATATTTAAATCACAAAAAAAAAAAACATGGCTATTTATTTAGCAAGATTTATGTTATCTTTTAAGTTTTTTTTATTTAACCCAGATGAGTTTTTTTTATCACAACCTGATGTGAAGATATTTTTAACCACATATTTGCTTTTTAGAACAAGTATAAGAACAAAAAGAAAATTAGCTTTCATTCCCTTCTTCATATATACAAAAAATACACACCACAATATTTGTTTCCTTCCAAAAAAACACATTAAGAATACAAAACTATAAAAACGCTATTGGCGGCACTATAAACATTTCCAGATTTGTAAAATAAAATATACACTTAATGAGCTATTCTAAGTCAAAATAAACATTTCAAAATCAAAATCTTCAAAACAAAGAGTACACATATGATACACATCATAAGTTTGTGTGACCTGGACCTGAAAAACAAAAACAAAAAACAGTAAGATCTCAAATATCAAACATACAAACACACATATTTAAAATATGTAAACACATGAATTTGTAAAATAGAAACATAAATCTGTATGTACTCACGTTATATGGCTACAATGTGAAACTTCTGGAGGGAAGAAAATGGTGACAGAGGCTTGAAGACATGGCAAATTTCCCTCTTCAATAGATGATGTATATTGCTAACCTTCATTTGAAGATCCATATCTAAAAAACTATATACTTATCCACATATCTTTTACATACACTAACACAGATCTATAGCACTCGACATAAATCTAAAACTTACACATTAACAAATCCAAAAGAACGATGGTGTGAAAAACACTTCTCGTTGAATGGTTGTAGGCAGCCATAGAGAGAGGGAGATAAACAGTGGTGAAGATAAAATACGGCTAATAGTAAAGATATGGGGTTTCAGGAGGTAGAGACAGTTGTTTATGGTGGTAGACCAGAAAAGACAGAAGGTGATAAAAAGAGTGAGTGGTGGTCGTTTGGAATTCTCGATCTTGGATGTCGGTTAGAAAGATGAATTGGTGGTGACTGGTTTTTCTACAGAGAAAAATGGAGTTTGAACTGGCGGGTGGGTTTTGTTAAAGAGAGAAAGAGGAGGCCATCAAACTTGAAATGGGGTTAGGGTTTTCTATAATAGTGGGTTTTTATATGTAGGTTTTCAAAACAATACTTGATTTTGATTGGTTTATTTTAATTCACATGGATCACCAACTTTTAATCCATACCATTCAAAAAATATCAAATGGCCAAAATTCCACCTCCTTGTTTTTTAGATATTAGTCTTAAAATTTGGTAGACCCCATAAAATGTATGCATTATAAAGTAGTATATATATATATATATATATATATATATATATATATATATATATATATATATATATATATATATATAGAGAGAGAGAGAGAGAGAGAAAAGTTCTTTTAAGAACCAAAAGATTTGCGAGAATTTGAGAACTAAATTACGATTGTTGTATTAGTTTATCTTTAATTTTTTTAATCAAGGTTAGGATTGTCTTTTTATCGTTTTTAATTAAAACAACATTTTGTTTATCTTTAATTCATTTATCCATTCGGAAAGATTTAGGTTATATTATTCTTTTTGTCCATATTCATCGTTCTTTCCGAAATTCATTCAGCGATTCATCAATCCATTCGATTTATCAATTTTCTTCTTAGAATCTTCTTCTTTTCTTTTTCGAATTACATTCATTGATCTTGAATCGTTATCTTTTGATTTTTTATTGAAGAATTTCACATTCAACGATTCATCGATCCATTCGATTTATCAATTTTCTTCTTAGAATCTTCTTCTTTTCCTTTTCGAATCACATTCATTGATCTTGAATCATTATCCTTCTATTTCTTATTGAAGATTTTCGTTATTGATTTTGTGATTCAGTACCGTGATTACTTTCTAGGTTAGTTTTTGTTATTCATCGATCCATTTGATAAATCGATATTCTTCTTAGAATCTTGTTCTTTTGCTTTTCTAATTATCTACATTGATCATTAATCGCTATCTTTTAATTTATTATTATACACTGACTTTACTGATTTTGCGATTCATTACTTCGATCATGTTTTAGGTTAGGGGGTTTTTTAGGCTTTATGGTTTAGGGTTCCAACGATCGTATTTATTGTTATTCTTTTTTAGTCATTTGTTTTTTTGTTTAAAACATTTATTCATTATTGTATTGTTTTTTCATTACTGTATTGTTTTTTGTTTTCCTTTTTAGTGTTTATCTTAGAATTTTTCATTGATTTGATTCAATTTTCAGTGTTTTTGAATTTTTCAATAGCTCATCAATAGAATCAAGCTTTTTTGTTTCTGGAATCCTATTAACGAAGGTATTACTCCATCTATAAATTTATTCTATATGTTATTGTATGTTTTATATACTTTATGTTTGTTACAAAAATTGCTTATAGATGGTATTCCTTTCAATGATAATCAACAATTTTCTATTGTAAAATGTTTTAGACTTGAAAAGATTAAACAATTATACAAAATGCTGATAGAAATAAATGATGATATTTATTAATATTGATAACTGTTGATTGACCTTAATCAATAAACTGTGAATAATACTAGTTTGTACAACATATACTACTTTATATAATTAAATGATAATCAACAATTTTTCATTGTAAAATATTTTTAGAATGGTTGATAATTTCATAATTGTAAATTGATTGTGGATGTAAGGTATTGTAGTTGAAAAAATTAAATAATTATACAATCTATGTATAAAAAAAGAATAATGATGTGTATTAATGTTGATAATTGGTGATTGACCTTGATCAATAAGTAGTGATCAATACTATTTCCATAGTATAGATTAGTGATGACTGCTGATTTGTTATTTTCGTATATGTGCACGCATATATGGCTGTTGATTTGAACTTTCAGTAGTTGATGTGTATTTTCATTTTTGCATATATGAAGTTTTTGTTTTTGTATATGCACAAATATGCATATTTTATGTATATTATTGATTTTTTTTCTTATTTTAATGTTATATAGATCATTCTTCTACTAGGAATGGTTTCTTTTCTTATGTGAATGAAGAGCATGAAAATAACACAACAAATAACATTGTTAATTCATCAAATGAAGTTAATGTTGGTGATTCTTTATTTGTTCAAGATATGGATCAAGATGAGCATAGTTCAGCAAACAATTTAAGTCATTCTATATAAGAAATTGATTCTGGTAATTGTATTTTTATTCAACCTCAACATTGTAATCAGAATATTGCAACAACAACTGAATTGGAAGGTGATTAACAAAAAAACTTATTCAGATATTAATTAAATTTTTTATACTTTTATATTAATATATTTGTTATTCAAATTCTTAGATCATCTTTCCTATATTGAAGTGAGATCTCCTAGTGACACAGGTACAATTTTT